TTTTCTGCCCAAAATATATAAACATGAAATTTTTACTTTTTTATTACTTTTATATATTTTTGAAATTCAGATCTTTAATTCCCAAAATTATTTCTATGAATAGTGTGAATGTTCAAATGGCTATCCATTTGGAATAATTTTTATAATACCTGGCATGTTAATTATCAGTTCATAAATTCTCACATATACATAAGTTGGTTTTAGAACTCTAATCTCATTAATCATTGTTTCTGTGCCATTATTACATTTTTAATTACATTGCTTAGTCTGTTACATTAGATGGCTCTGTTTGTTCTCAGCCCTCCTGCTCTCAAATTCTTTCCTCTGTGTTCGGTCTCCATACCACTCCTGGCCTTTTGCTTTGGAATCCTAGTATGTATCCCCTTCCTGAAGTTGGATTTTCCCACAGCTCTGCTTTACCAACCGATTTCCATATCATCTTCCCCATCTCCCCAAAACCCTACCCCACACACACACACACCCCTCTATTATGATAGTGAATGAAAAATTTACTGCTGAAATTGTGATCACAGAACCCTACTAGAGGTGGTAAATTCAGACTTGTTATCTTTGATTAGTTTTGTTTAGTTAGGTACTATTCTTGAGCCCCACAAGACCGTATTATTTTACCTGAAATTATCTGTCTTAGAGACAGATAAGTACTTCATGCACTCTTCCAGTGGGAAAGCTCAGTGCAAAAATGATCTAATAATCTTAGCTGTGATAAGACCTCACCAAAGATACAGTCAAGATTGGTTAAATAGAGGACATCAGTGGGACCACAAAATAGGATACAAAAGCTGTATCCAGGGAAGGAGCTAAGAAATGGTTTCTGTTGAAGGTCACATCCAAGAACTGTGATGAGTCAGTTTAGAGAAATCTGTATTACCATATTTTTTGGAAAAAAAAATATTGTTTAGTTATAGGTGGACACAGTACTGCTGAAGTCTGGCTGGGCACAAAATCACAAGCCACTCAAGCAGGAACAAACTTTATTTTTTGAAACTGCCGCCAATGCCCCGTACGCGCCTGGGAAGATTGCCGATCGACGCGTGCGGTGTTCTCCCGGATCCCAAGAGGAAGTTCCTCCTCTGGAAATCCCTCCTACTGCACTTCCCCAACCAATGGGAACTCTCCAGGAGTCCCTGACAGGCCGAGGTGGACAGCAGGAGTCCAATATCCATATGAATGTAAATCTTAACATAATCATGTCATCTCAATGGCTAGCTGGCATCACCTTTCAACCAAAAATGCCATGCATCATATTACTTGGCTGTGACTCTTAGCATCTCCCCCCTTCTGTTTAATTAAGCAACAAGCAATGTGGCTAGGGACTGTGCCTGTTAGGTTTGTCCAATTCAACATATGGTTCTTACCCGTCATCAGAAAACTGACCTCTAGGCATCAGCCTTCTGTCTTAGGTTGATACCACTGCAATTGGATCATACCCGTCACTGACTACTGGTCCAGCATATAGCCATACTTGTGGATAGGCCTATGCACCAGTAGGGGGGTGAGGTTCTTTGCCTCACCTCTGTTGGCCCCCAAATTTGGCCTTGGTGCTGGTGTGGGGGGGTGAGGTTCTATGCCTCACCTCTGTTGGCCCCCAAAATTAGACCATCACTAGTAGAAGGGAGGAGAATACAGAAATGCCACGACACCAAGTCAATTGACGGCTCTTTAGGAAAAATTGCAACACTGGTGACACATCAGCAAAGATACGCCAGCACTACCATAATTCGCTGCATCAACAGATAGAGCACAATGCATACAAGTGATACATAGCCCAGGCAAGTTTTGTAAGCAGTTCAAAGCGGAGAAATCAATCAATATGTCCATTTCCTCCCAAAATAAATCAACTCAGTGATTGAGCATTACTTGTTGAGTTATTATTCATTGATGCATCAGTTTATACAGTTTGTTGTGATAACTATCGAAGAAACTGTAG